ACGGGCGCGTTATCGATCCTTCCGGAATGGACTTCGCCTAAAAAATCCTGGACCTCTTCTATTTCCTCCCTTTCTCGCCTTTCTGCACTCCCTGCGATCCCTTCTCGTCGCGCTACCTATTGTTTATTTCTGTCTCTCCGCCCTTCTTTTCTTTTCCGCCCGTTTCTTTCTTTCTTGCTTCTTTTTTTTTCACCTTCTTTCCTTTTTGTTTCCCCACCACCAGCACGAACAACGCGAACTGACACCGATTGCACGCGTCGTTGAAACGGTCATGCTCGATTCACGGCTGGCTGGAATTCGGGAGGGCGGATTGAAATTCGCCGAGACACCGGTCGCGTTTAATCTCGTCGACGATCGGGATCGTTATTCTCCGTTAAACGAACGGTGAACGTGATTCGTTTGAACTTCTACGGTCGATGTTATTTCACGTTGTCGAGTGAAAGTACGGGGATTAAATGAGCGCAGAAATTTTCGAAGGGAAATTCACCCTTTCTTTCCTTTTCTTTTTATACAGAACGCGGTGTAAATAAATCGCCTCAGCTGGTTCTGTGTGCTTTCAGAATAAAATATTTCGAACGAAAGTTCTGTAGGTTTTGGATTTAATGATAGGAGGATAGTGCATGATCTGTGTTACTTAGTACCGACATGGTAAGTTCTTTTTGTCTTTGTTATTTAGCTGGGTCAGGAGGTGTACAGTTTACTTATTGCTTACTGACTATCTGCTTCACTGACTCTGACTCTCCAAGTCACCTCGTGAGCTTCTTTCTCACCCTCTTCTTTTTCCTGATTGGTTACCCCCAATTTATCGGTTGTAACCAATCAGGAATTTTGTCTTTAACCCGCCGCTAGTCCTTTGCGCGCTTTTTCCAGGACCGCGGCGAATTATGGTGGGGGCGTATTGTCCGCTGTAACGCATTTGGCGACGCCGCGGATTTTCCTCCAGGTCCGGTACTTGAGACATGTGGCCTGGGCCTCTGGGTCCGTACGCGGACCTTTCGGCAACCCTTGGTTTATGACCTGGCAAATTGCTATTGAGACCGTTGATGAAAGTTTCTACGAAAACGTGCATTGTTAGATTTACTAAACATTAAACAGACTAAAACGGTTTTCTCAAAAACAGCTTTTCTAGCGTGCTCGTCATAAACCGTGTTGGTCGTCCGCGTGGCAATTGCTTGCTTCTGCGCTACAGCTGGTCGCCACAGTTCGTTGGTGTTAAGCGAAGAGCTTTATCGGAGTGAAGGAAATCTTTGAAAGTACCCTTTTTTCTGTGAAAAATTCACGTCAATTTATATTTTTTCAAATAGTATCGCGTATTTTTCTTTTCATATTCGGATACTACGTGGAAGAAACTAATTCAGCGAAAGAAAAATGTATTACTTTAATTATCCGATTGTAAAATAATTTGATTTACAGAAAAAAAAATAAGAAGAACAGGCACAAGATAATAGAAATAAGTGAAAATTAAATGTTACGTAGGACGTAAATGTAATTAGTTATTACGGTCAATTTTCAAACTGCATTCCGCTCTCCGCAACACAAAGTTCTGCTCTTTCCAATAAATTCCGATGTCTAGCTTCAATTAAATTACGATTCTGTAAATATCCGCAGGCCTGCGTTTTGCGTTCTTTAAGATTATCGATACCATCAACAGGTGTTGCGTAAACAATCGACTGCAAATACCTCTAGAGATAAAAATCTAAAGTGTTTATGTCCGGCCAGCGAATTGAACCATATACGTATATCAATTCACCTATCTTCAAACACGATATTTAGATATGAAACCGTATTTACGGTATTTACCGAATTGGTTCTTTCATGTAGTTTCCAAATATGAAAAGAAAAATATACAATGATACTTAAAAAACGCAAGTTGACATGAATTTTTTTATGAGAAATGTTACTTTGGAAGATTTCTGTTACACCAAGAAACTCTTCACTTAATACCGAAGAACTTTCTTTTGAAATATTTTTTTTTTATCGAAGAATGTAAATCTGCTAAAATATCGATCGATTTTTGCCGCATCCTGTATACGAGAAATCTCGGTTTCAAATTAATTCGGTCAGATAAGATTTTGCAATATTAACACTAGGTTTACAGGACGCGCCATTTTGACGCATTTCGAATTTCACTAGGAAAATTGCAGAAACCGTTTACATTTCTCTCCTACCACTTGTGCTTGTTATAAATATATCGTTCATATTATCGTTAATTTATAAGTGAATAGTGAGTAATATGTTCTTTTTAAATAAAATATGTTGCTTTTTAAAGAAAATCTGCGGTTTGCGCAGAGTGACTCTTACTAATATTCGGACACCCTTTAGAAGAGTATAACTTTTTTAAAATTGCACTTAACGTCTTGAATTTTTTTGAGAAGTTAGAAGGATTAGTATACTAGATGACGCGTATAAAATTTTTTGAAAATATTGCAATTTGTGGTAATCGCGAAGAAAATTGTAAAGGTCACATTCAACAACTTTTTTATCTGAGCCCGTAATGAAAATTTAAAAAATACGTTTTGTAGATTTATGCCAATTATGCGCATGCTGAAAACTTTATCGAAATCGGTTAACGTTACTATGAGCTACGAATCGTTAACGATTGTGAAAATCGCACTATTTCACGACGTTCGGCCTATAATTGTAATAAATCTGAAGATTCCTACATCTTTCGATGCCTGTCGCTTGTTTCTCCATCTACCGATTTCGATGAAATTTTCAGCATGTGTATAATTGACATAAATCTACAAAACGTATGTTTTAAATTTTCGTTACAAGCTCAGGCAAAAATGTTGTAAACAGTGACCTTTACAATTTTCTTCGTGATTCCCATAAATTGCAATATTTTCAAAAAATTTTACACACGTCATCTAGTATACTAATCTTTCTAACTTCTGAAAAAAACTCAAGTCGTTTGATCCAATTTAGAAAAAGTTATACTGTTCTAAAGAGTGTCCGAATATTAGTAAGAGTCACTGTAGGTATATAAGAAATGTTAAAGGTGAATCCATATTGCTGCTACTACCGTGCATTTCCACTCAGAGGAATTTTATTTCGAGCATTAACAGGGAATTCACGCGAAAGCCGATGCATTTGGTTTAGGTAGGAGGTTCGACGGGGAAAATCAAAGGGATCGGGATGAAACAAAATTCGAGCGTAGAAACGAATCAACGAGAACCCTCGGCTCTCTGTTCGCAGCTTTTCGCAGAGTCGTGTGCTTAGCCGGAAACGAATGCACCAGCGCGGACAGTATGCGCGCGCGTTATCTCAAAGCTTCGACTCACCACCTCGAAATTGATTCTCCGCGAAAGGTCGCAAGGTCGTTTCCGAATGTCCAAGAAACGAGAGCTAGCATTTCTCCTTGCATTTCCTGCTAAATTTCCGTGAAGCTCGACAAGAGAACTGGATGAGAAGGAGAGAGAAAACATGAAATTGTGGAAGGAAGGACAAGGATAGAGAAAGAGATCAGGATGCTCATTATTCGCTGTCGATCGTTCTCGTTCACCTTGGTATCATTCGAACGAAGAAACAGAGTAGCGCAGTAAGAACAATTTCTTCGTCGCTGATCGTGTATCTGCCGAGTTTTTCTTTCAAACATTTTAATTACGATTTTCGGTAAATTCTCTTATACAGGTATTTTAAATATAATTAATTATGAATTTAGGTCAATTCTTTTTTACAGATAATTCTCTTATATTTTAAATATAACGTTGCATATGCAGAAATGTTTCGAATTTTTCAATTCTTTAATAATATTCGCACCGGTAAAGTCTGATATGGAACGCAAACAGGGGATGGAAAAAGAAGAGAAATAACACGATGCTGGGAGACGATAGTCTGAGGGGGTAAGGACGGTAAAGTTTCAGATCGTGTGTCCTTGGATGAGATTTTAATTCAACTTCGGTCGTTAATCGCGCCGCGTTGGAAACGGAATTAATTAAAGCTGCTTAACGACCGGGCCCGGGCAATTATTGGATTTACAACGCTATCGCTGGCAGGGGTTAAGCTGATATGCCGATGAATCGCGCGCCGGTTTTCCTAGCAGTCGGTGAATACTCTGATAAAACGCGCCTGTCTTGGTCTGTTTCCTCTCTTTTACAATTCGACGTGATCGACGTCATCCAAACGACTGATGTGACACCGGAATTTTTTTTATTCATCTCCACGCGACAACTAATTGCATCAAAGAAAAAATTTTTCCCTCGTTCAAGTGGTAGGTATCGCGGTTAAAACTAACGGGGCAAAGTGAAATCCCACGAATACGCGTTTTCTTCTGTGACAAACATTGACGATTTCTCGTTGCAAACACTTCTCTAGCTTTTTTCAGATTTATTCAAATTGCGAACTTTGTTGGCTTCGTTGTCAAGCTCTGATCAATTTACGGCGCGACGAAATTTCGAGAATCGTGAAAATTGCAATTGTCGCGAAGGAATGATTTTTTTAGAATGACTAAAATTCAGTTTGATCGCGATTTATCCCTATTGAGAATGATCGGTTTCGTTGGTCAGACGCTGATTAACTTACAGTTATGGAAATTTGAAAAGAATGAAAATTTGTGGAACGATAGAATTTGGAAAAATGTAAAAATCGCGAAAAAAATATCATTTAAACTGTTTTTACGGTGAATATTTCAGTGTTATTCGGATTGTTATGGACGCGGCCGTCAATTTGACGGCGCGCGTGAATTTCGTATTTTCGAAACACGCATAGAGGCGTCGCTCAATCCCGTAAAAATTGACCGATAATTCGCCTCCAGGGCCGTTAGCAGAATTTTTCACCGTGGTCATAATTTCGAATGGTACATGCTCGTCGAACGCAAACACCGCGTGTACTGGCTTCCGAATTCCAACGGTCATTATCGCGTTGCCATAAACTCGTCGACGTGAACGCGCGCGCGAAATAAGGGGCCATTCGCCGGCAGTTCGTTGACCAGTGATCCAAAATCAGCGTCCAACTACTCCCGTGAAACGTTTTGTGACCTCCGACAGTGTTGAAAAATTAACATGTTCCGTTTATTACTTTCTGCGAACGTAGCATTGTGTTTCTTCTCTTGGAGAAGTGACAGCGTTCTTTTGTATCCCAAGAGGACATTATTTCAGGTAATTATATCGCTTAATGGCGTTTGAAATAATTTCAAATATTAAATAAGTTTCATTTTCTAAGCCCTTGTACGATTCTTTTAACCCTTTTACATCGCTTTGAAAATTTCTTTCGCACCTTTTCGTGCACCTTAACATAATTTTTAATTTTATCTTCTAAATACTTCCATCTTAATTTAATAAGAAAAATTTTTTAACGGCCAAAACGAAAGATTTTGCCTGTGTCACGTACGTTACGTACTAAAATCTGCCGCAACGAAAGGGTTAATGGTACACATTTGAGTGTTAATTGAGCCGTTTAGTTTGATAGTGGTGTAAGTCCATTTTAAAAACATCGAGATTATGCATGAATTGCGCGTAAAGCATGTTGTTAAATCTTACGATCAAATATCATAGACCGAAACATTTTAAAAACATAAAATTATCACCTCTATACAAAACTTCTACACCCATAAGCTCAGCTAAATATAAAGATACGAGTGATTTATTGCCTTATATTCCACCTATGCACCACAATTATTTCAAAAACTTTTCTCACGGTGTCAATGAAGATGTTTTAAATTACTAAATTAAAAACCATGAATATGTTTTTTATTTTTAATGTATAACGTTGTTTAAAGTTATATGCAATTTTGCTTGGCATAACATGAATAAAAGATTTAAATTCTTGAAAATATAATATAGTTTTTCGGAAAAACCTTGAATTCTAAGTAATTAAATATGATTTAAGTTACTGAAAATTTGATGATTTTGATAGTGGTGTAGGTCCATTTGTGGTCACAAAGTCCCAATTTTTCTTCAAGCAAATCCGATATATTTTACATACCTCAAAAGTTTCGACATTTGTCACCACAAAAAACATAAAGCGAGACTACCAGTGATTTTCAGTCGATTAAAACGCGAACCCTTAAATATCTCACTATTTAGGAAAACGGACTTACACCGCTATCAAAATAAACGACTCAATTAAATCAGTCTCCCAATACATCCTTTCGTAACATTCTCAATTTCCGACGATTTTCTTGCAGCTTTATTTCACTTGAAAGTTCGAGAGAATGAAAGAAGGAGTTCAACTTCTTTCTAACCTTCTGCTTAATAAAATAATCGCTTGGTGTCTACCGAAAGGATTATCAGTCGTTCTCGTTTTCGAATTTATTTCATTTTCCGGTGAGATTTGTCGTGTATCGCTAACAATACAGTAATTCACGATCATCGTTAAACCATTTCACGGTGAAATATTCACCGATCTGGCTGCGCGAAACAGAAGCTCCGGCTGTCGAAACATTTCGCCGTGAGGGATAAACCGTACCACTGTGTAACGGCGCTTCTTATCTTCTTAGGCAGCCCGCGAAACTTATTAAGCTGGTTGCCAGGATAATGAGCACCCTTTCGCAAGTTTTCCTCTAATTAGATCGCGCCTCTGTTTGCATTGAATTCTTAATGTTTTCTGACTAAGACGGGGCCAGAGGCAAGCAGCTCGACGAATCCTCCGTTTGTTGAACCGGCGGAGAAGAGCAGGAGGAGGAGGGGAAGCGATTCGTCCTTAATAAGGGGTTTTCATGGAACGTTTGCATAAGCAATCTCGAAAAAGAAGCTTAAAGGCTCTGTTAGTGATTCGCAGTCACAGCTCGGTTGAAACTGTTGCAAGCGGCGGGGTTGTTTTTAAATAAATCAACGGCGGAAAGTCGGCACTTGGTCTGGTGAAAAATCAGAACGGTCGCCGTTCTGAAAGTGGCTATTTGATAGGGCGCACGATTGGTTGTAAAGTGTCTGATAAAGTATTCCTTTGCTTCGTGAGATGTTCGTTGGCCGAGTAGCCTGAAATCCGATTATTACAATTAGTCTGCTTATTATTATGCTGTTTATGTACATATGTTTGAGGAATTTCTTGAGAAAATAGCAGGGTAGCGAGATGTAGCTGTAATTTTCAGAGATGAAGACATTCTGTCAATCGTTTTTTTTCCTGTTACTTTCTAAATTTTCTCTAATTTTCTGATACACTGTTGCACGAGAAGATTTCAGGCAGGAGTGAATCTTGGTTTTGGTAAGTTCTTGCACAACGCTCGAAGTCGAGATCCAGTTTGCTACTTTGCTCTGCGTCTTCGTTGTGGTTTCCGGATATTCTTCTTCCCGGAGGATGCGCCCATTTTCATAGAAAGTACGCTTGACGCTGGATTCACGGAAAATCGGAGAAAAATCTCGGGCTACTTCAGATTTTTCAGCTCAACGTGTAGTTCGTTACGGGTCGAGAGTATAGGCTATCGAGGTTTATTGATTTCGATTTTTGCTTCTTTTTACTCGACTCATCAATTTTTATCGAGAATTTCTTGGATATTTGGCGGTGGGTGTTGAGAACATGGAGATTTTCCCCCTTGAAAATATGCTTCAGAAATTGAAGAAGAAAATCATCGGAAAATTGAAAGTCCTACAGTGTTAGGAACCTGTACGTGTTGTAATACCCTTAAAAATTCGTCGAATTTTTTGAATACCATAGAGAGTGGGAAATATGGTGTTAATTTTATCTCCGATAATATTTTATTTCTTCAATGTATTATCGATTTCTATATATAGGATTTCAGAAAAATATGAAGAAACTTCTCGGGGAAATTAAAACATAACACTCATTATGTAACCGAGATTCGAACCCTGAACAATTTGGTGGAAAGCAGATACACTATCCATTTCACCATGAAGGCACACAAAATTTTTTCTATTCACTATATATGTAACTCTATTCTTAATGCCATACATACAGTGCCGCTCATAAGTATTAGGACACCTACTATGTTTGTACCGAAAGTATTATATAATTTAAATTATATTTCTTATCAGTAAAAATATACAGGGCGTGCACGCTATTAGCTTCCAGTGTTTTTCTCGTAAGTGGTAAATTTGTGAGAAAAATGAAAGAGAACAAAGTTCAATTATTTTTTACGCACAATACGACGACTTGAATAGATTTTTCAAATTTGCAATGGTTTTCGTGTAACGATGCCATAAATTGTTTTAAATTAACAGCTATTATTGTTTTTATATTATCCGAAAGCGGTTGCTGAGACAAGTTCAACGACCCAAAACAAACTCAATTTTCGACCTGGCACAATTAGGTCCTTATTTTTATCCCGACTGTCACCACCTTTTTCAGACGATATTAGAACCTTTTAATCGATGGAAGCTCGCGTTCCTCTACAAAACTCCTTCAAACTGTACAATCTTTTCTCAAACATGCGTCAAACTTGTGCAACGACTTCGACCAACCATCTGAACCGTTCACCTTCTCCTCTCTATCGAACATCCTTTCCTCCTCTTCTCCTAGGAAAAGTTGTTTCGATCGTGTGCCTGCCTCATCCGCTCGTTCCATTTTCCAGTTCACGATCGGCGTCTCGGTTCCGGTTACCATGAACAAAAGGGGCGGCATGGTGTTCTCGTCTGCATTCCAATTCAATTATAAACTTCCGACGAACTTGTCGGAGCTCGAGCCTACAATAATACCGGCCAGACAGGCGAGGGATCTCAGTCTTCGGGACACTTACGAGGCCATCGAGAATTCGTTGAACCGGTCAGTATTATATTTTCTCTGATTTCCATATTCCGAGTTACAAGTTGATTTTAGGGGGTTTCGGTAGGACAATGAATGGGATATTCGGATGTTCTTGAATAGACGGAAGGAGACAAGCACGGTTGGTGCGTGAACGTTGAAAATTGCTCGATGAATCGGCAAACACGGGCGAGAATAGAACGAATAAATTCGTAATTAACCGAACACCGGAATTGGCCGCGATCGTTCCCGGGGACGCTTAATGAAATTCCATTTTCTAGCCTAGGATCATCCAGCCGTGGCTCGCCACATTCGTGTTTATCGGCGATGCTGTGCACAATGGGCCGCTGATTACGCGAAACAAACGGGAAACGAGGCTTCGTCACGCGCCGCTGACAACTTGGAAACGCGGTTTTATGAACCGTTCGATTATTCACAAACAGAATCGTCTTTAATCCGCACGAAAAATTCAGCCACGATGAATAACAGATTGTTTCAATTTTTCTTTTTTCTTCACCAAGTGTACCGCATATTTTGCCATCTTTCACTAATCGAAAATCGAGTTTCAAACGTGTTTTCAAAGATTAGGTATTAACCCTTTGAACTCCAAACTTTTTTTAAAATTTTCTTTTCAATAACTCCCTATTATTTTAAGAACTTTATTTGTAACGCACTTCAGAAGACATATGGTCGATAGGAACCAATTTAAGCAATTTTTGAAAATAGCATTAAGGGTCACCTATTGTTCATCCAGATAAAGAAGATATTGCAAAATATAATACATGTTTGAACTGGCAATTTAAAAATTACTTCATTCGTACCTGTGAATAAAACTGATGTCGAGTCACACTCAACAAAGGAGTCCAAAGGGTTAATACTGCACCGGTAATTATTCTTACAGGCTACCTCGATTAACAGAAAAAAAATTCAAAATTTCGCAATACTCTGATATTATTTCCCCCCTGAAAATATCTCGCAAAAATAGGGGTGTGAAGAAAAACTCGCGAAAATATCCTAATTACAAATTTCTCTTCTACATCAAACAATACAGAAATCTACGATGAATAGATATTAAGGTTACTGTCAATTTCGAAGACGATCATCGCTTTGCAGGTCAACATGGGACAGTCTACAGGGAGTCGGCGAGTATTACGTAGAGACCCTAAGATCAAAGGGTTGACTAGAACGGTGGAGGAGGGGAGGGAAGAGGGGTAGATGGGGGCAAGGTAAAGGCAAGAACTTGAACATAAATTAATTGGGACATAAGGCAATTACTTTGCCTCCGGGCAGAGCGTTAGGGTAGTGGGGGTGGGTCTGAAGCTAAGGTAACAAGCGTACTCCTTCGCTTTGGAAAGGCGCTGTGGAAGTTAAGAAAGTGTCGGGGTTGATTCGGGGCTGACGAGGGAGACGTGGTGTCGCGTGAAATGGATCGTTAACCGGTTCAATGGAGTGAATTGCACAGGTTCGTTCTTCTTACGGAGAGAACTCATTCCACCGAATCCCAGACCTGGCTAACTCGAAAAATTCATCGTCGATTGTTTGAAAATTGTATTTTCCTTCTCTTTTGTCTTTTTTCTCCCACTCTCTCTTTCTTTTTTCAATAGAAATCGCCGAATTAGCGAACGTGAAAGTTTTCTAGACGGAGTATTCCGTGATTAACGCATCACGAGTACCGGACGAAACGGTTTAAACTAATTCCAATTTGCATCCCCTTTTCGAGCGGTACATAATTTTATTCGAGGCAGCCGGTCGAACGACGAACGATGGGAAAGGGTGGATAATGAATTTCTGGCCGGCGGTGCAGGATAGGCGAAGAGGAAGAAGAAGAAGAAGAAGAAGAAGTACGGGACACGCTTAAGAATTCCCTTTTACCGTTTTATAAAACCAATATCATCTCGCGGCTATAGGGTTCACCGAGGAGCTTCGCCAGCGTGCGACTTTCTCTAATAAAATTACTTCTAGCACCGTGGTCGAATTGTAAAAAAGGCCTGAAAGGCAGCTGAGAGTAAAGTAAAAGGATATACGCGTGTGTACATGTATACACGTGTATAGGGTATGTACGTATATAGGAAAGGAGGTAGAAATTAAAATTGAACATTCTCCATGTACAGGCACGGCTGGAGGGACGGTAGGAAATGTCTTTTAAGGACTATTTGCGAGATGGCGGAGACACCATTTGGAAGGACACGCCAGGATGTCCTCGAGGAGGTGATCCACTTAATTTTAACGTAAGTTGGTTGGGACGAATCGCGCTTTGAGACCAGCGGAAGCGGGCCGCCGCCGCCACCGTCGCGTACTTTCCGAAACGAAATTCATTTCTTGAGGAGCTCCCGGTTAATGAATTCCGTTGGAAGTCCCTAATGGCTGTCCTGCTCGCTCGCGACAAAATAGGACGACGGCGCGGCGTAACGAAGCACGAATAGACTGGGATAATGTAGTAAATCCATATACTGGCGGTGGTGGCCTCGTTTAACGATTTTGCAGATCGTTCTTTCCAGTTTTGGCCCGGGTTAGAATAGAAGAAGACGCTAGTTACGCTGTATAACGTGCCCTCGATATCACGGTGGAAGAAAATTGAAACATCTTCGCGATTAAGAGGAAGGAAAACTGTTTTAGAAAGGAAAGAATTATTTTTCAAAGGGAAAGTTGTTCTTCCTTCGAACAATAAATAAAAAGGAGGGTAGATACATTAGGTTGCTGCATAAATTTTGTCTGTTAAAGTAGACTTTTGAAAATAGCTTATACTTTAAACTATGAAATTTTCATTATGTTTTATGACAGTGGACGTTGCGTTATGCTTCTTTCATAAAACTGCACGTTTATTGCACGTTTTACGGCTTCAAAATTATTCAAGCTTTTTCATCTAAACTGTTTTGTAGCGATGGAGAGATGTGAAAAGCTGTTGGTACCAGATTCGGGAAATATCGCGGATGAGGAGTAAGTTCTCGTTGCAGTTCTAATATTTTCTTTTGCGTTGCCATCGCCACGTGTGATCTTGCGTTGTCGCCAAGGTACAGGACGCATTTTCAATTCACAAGGGATGGTCTTTTAATTTGCAGTTCTCGCTGCACTTTCGACCAATGTCTCTTCTCCGTTACATTATTGCACAAAACCCACTTTTCATCTTCAAAAGATCTTCTCGAATTTGTCTAGCACGAAGCGAAACACAGAGACGCGGGTCCAGTAAATTTTTCGCTGACTTTGAACTATAAATCCACTTTCATGGAGACCCCTTACAACACTTGAATTGTGAATGCCAAGCTCAGATGCAATATTACGGATAGTCAATTCTGGATTTTCTTTAACTAATTCGCTCACTGATAGAGTGTGGATAGATCGTAAATATTGTAAATAGCATTTAAATTTAAGTTTATCTACATTTTGAACATGTTTTCAAATATTTCAATCTGAAATATGCAGTTCATACTTTTCATTTCGATTGTTTTACGAGTGGCCCATATTTAGACCACCTTTCAAAAAATGAAGATTTTCCCTTTTATCTTAAATATATAATTTGCAACATGCATTGTTTTTGTTTAGCTTATTTTTATTTCGTATCATATAGTAAACATGTTATTGACATATATTCAATCTTAAAAATCTGACAACAAATCCTAAAATGAAAGTGGTAGCCCACATTTAGACCTTCTCCTCTACTATTACATTATTACCAGCCAATTTTTTCATAATAATTCTCAAGTCTTGCTTCTCCCATCAAAAGTGTAAGGGATGGGCGATTTTTCAATTAAAAGGGGCGCGCGAACAACCAAACTAATCATTAGCAACCACCAAACAACGCTGCTCCTCTGTTCACAGCTCCGACAGGCACACGCATGCACAAAAGCACACACTACACTTACAAAATGTAAAATTGCAATTATTTGATCTCAAGGACGAATCGTCTGTCAACTTACTTTTCGTGTGAGCTGTTCATGTAAATTTAAAAGCATATACACGTCTATTCGTAAACTGAATTGTACCACGCAGTGGCACTGAAAACAAAGTTAACAAATAACAATCGACGAAGCGAATCTATAGAACCATGTATGTATACATATTGTACTTTCATTCAAAATGTACATTTTCATAGCATGTCAACATACTTTCCGCGGTGACTGTAGTTCACGCTTCGTAGAACTTACGCAGCAACCCAATTGTTAAATCTTGCCCATGGTAGTTACAAATTAACTTTCGGGCTATGTCGAATTTGCACGTGGTGTGCCGACTAAGATAAAACTATGTTCTCGAAGGACCACTTCCTTGCGGAAAACAAATAACTAATAACAAATGACTATGTTTCTGAAGAACTAACGCGAGGGCTCGGACAATCTCCAAGACACCTCAGATACGAGCCTTCGGCGGGGATGAGACACGCGGGTTGGTCAACTACATTTTTCGAACTCGACAAGGGAGGTGGTTGAATCTAACGCGTTTGCCAATCATTAGGTACCGAAAACTAACTAAGGTGACGGCTCCAAGTCAACGGTCACTCTCAAGTGCCCGTGCACCCTTGAGTGACGCGCGCGGAAACTCCGCGTGTCTCGAACAATGGGCGCAGAAGCACGGTCAAATAGAAATCAAAGGACTAGAAAGCCAAAGTATGGCAAGTAGATGTGCACAATGGCCATAGAAAAAACATCGAAATTCATGGCTTCCCAAGTTTATGACCGCTGCGAAAGACCGGGAAATTTCCAGACCCGCGTCTGGAAACGCATTAATCCTAATGACTTAACACTAACAATTATCACAGTTGTACAAGCAATAGGCAAACTACCGAAAAATATTTCTAAAGAAATATCAAATTAATCGAATTGCAAAATTGTCGAAATATTCGAGAAGAACTGATTTCTATAGAATATCCGTAACTTTCTTAATTTTTCGAATTTCTCAGCAATTCTTCCTATATCTTATTCTATATATTCAAGACGATTTATCGATAAGAAAAAGCGCAGATTTTCTATTGACTCTGTAACAAAGTTGGTTATCACGATTCAACGTGTTCAACTTGAGGGGTACAAAAGGGGATACAGGAGTAACGAGGACAGATCGAATTAGCGGTCGATGGGTAGGAGAACGAAACGAAGCTTTCGTTGGACGATTTGGACGGGTGGAAAACCGGGCACGAATTTGCCATTCCGCACGCGGCCGTGTGTACTCGAAGGAAATTGCAACCGAGCCAGTAGCGGCGCTCTAATTGCGACGAAGTTAGGCGCGTGCATTAAGCTTCTAATGGAAGGTGTTTCGCGTAGGTTTTCGCTTTGTGCCGTGCCGCGCGCCTCTCTGTACACACACGTCACCGTGAAATTTCTACCGACGTAATTCTGCCGAAACATCCACTGAACAATCGTCCCGGCCAGCGTGCGTCGAATGTCAATAATACTGCTACTAGCAGTCGCTTACCTTCGTTATTTGCTATCGCCACTGTTGCACTTTTCTGTAATCGATTCTTCTTTCCCTTATTTCATTTCCTTCATCTCCGTCGTCGTCGTCACTTTAAATCACGTTAAAATCGCGAATTTTCCTCCGAAATTGTCCAGATGCTGTGCGTCACAGCGTCGACGGTTAGTGTTTTCGCGACTTTGTAACTTAACGCGGGATAAATTGAAGTCTTTCGAGAGTAGAAGTGGACTGTATGTATGTAATGATGGATAGTAAAGTACACCCTGGATTTTGTATTAGCTGTATTTAATATACATACACCCATCCCTCCATTTACGCGGATTGACCTTTCCACGTTGATCTTTTTTACGCGGATAAAATTCGCGTAAATGGAGTCTGCTTGTATGAAAAAAAAAAAAAAAAAAAAAAAAAAAAAAAAAAAAGCTTGTAAAGTTATAAAAACATTTAAATCGCATAGGTTAATAACAAAAATAATGATATTTCAGAAAACAGAAATAAGTTTTATTCGGTGTCAGGATCTGTACTGCAAAACTTAAATCGTAGAACAAGAGGTTAAAAAAAAACCAAAAAAGGTCAGAGTTGTGTAATTAGTACGTTCAAGTAAGAATTTGCGTCTCTCTGATATGTAATAAATTCAACGAAAGTTTATAGAAAACTGAACCTATTTGACCGTGTAAAATGAGATCGCGTAAAAAAGTACCGCGTAATTAGAGATACAATTTATCGCGTAAAAAAGAACCCGCGTAAATGGAGGGATGTGTGTACTGTAGGACTGTAGTTGGTCGAGAGCTATTTGCTATGTGTTGTGTGTGCCTTACGAAGGCCGAATTGCGTCTAGATTGTGCGTATGTGCCTTACGAAGGCTGAAATGTGTCTTACGAAGGTTCGATTGAGTCTAGTTTGCGTTACGAAGGCCGAAGTGTGTCTTACGAAGGTTGCAATGCGTCTAGTCGTCACTGATGGTGTGTTATCGAGGAAAACTCGTCTAAAATGTGATTGGTTGAATATTTGGAGCAGGGTAGTTGGAACTAATTTGGAGTTGGATGATGTGGAGATGTCTTTTCTTTTAGGAAAGTGTAAAGGCAGTGGAAGGTGGAAAGTTCTGAGAATGGTTTGCAATTTCTACGGCGTCTGCAGTGTGTATATTATCGAACAATGAAGGCGCTAGGGTAAGAAGCGCAGTCTGGTTCTGGAGTCTAGCCATGTAGTGTCTTGGGGTGTGGGCCTTCGTGCGAGGCCACCCTGAAAACGGTCTATTGACCGCGACGAAACGTGCGAAAAAATCTGTGTTTGTTTACGACGCAACACCGGATGATTTAGAAAATTTTCGTCCGATAATTAAAAATAGACCGATTCGCGATTATTTTTCTCTTTTTCGAAAGAGGCTGAAAGGGTAACTGGAATTTCTCAATCAGGCCGAGCGAGGACTTACCAGGGACGGCTAATTCCACTCACCAGAGCGTCGAGCAATTGTATCAGGAAGCAGAACGACTGGGAAGATCTGGCGGTGACTGCATCCTGGCCTATCCCGATTGCATCGAGTCACCCTTGGAATCGTTCACGGAGATCGCATTTCCTTAGGGAATGTACTGCGTTCAAGCGTGCGAACCGCATTGATTTCGATCTGTGACGGGGATTATTTGAGCTTAATAAAAAAAGAAAAGATTTCGATCTTAGCTTCGAATTTTCATTAACGTAGTTTTTTCCAGAGAACATCGAAACGTATTTTGTATGATTCTGAAAGACGACGATATCCTAATTCATAAGTAGACTGCGGATTTTTATGCAAATTCATATTTTCGAGAATACAGTAAAAAAAGTAGAACTTCGGTAGAAAATTATTTGACCCATTATGTATTATAAAAGTCACTGTAATTTGGATATTTTGTATATTTTTTCATATTATGTGCATTCTGTGCAATTTTGCACCTTCCAATTTCCTATAAATGCATAAAAATACGCAGTCTACTCATAAGTTACGCCTCACAGTCTTAACCCTTTGTACTATGAATTCTTTTTTCATTTTCTTTCCAATAGTTTCATTTAAAATGTACTTCAAAGGACAATTGGTCGACAGGAAGCAACCCGACTAGAAATTTCAGTTAGGCAGATATTAGGTCCGCATTAGGCTAGCCTAATTTGCCTGTAAGGCCCGCATGCGGTATGTAACGAGGAATATTCACGACCGCCTAATTGGGAAAGCCGTGTTAGGACCGCATTAGGCTTTCCCAATGGTTATCCAATGAGGCCAACCGCATTAGGCCCATATTAGGATAGCTTTATTAGGCTGTCATTGGGAGACATTAATGAAATCTCACGAAGAATACCTCATCAAGACACTGTATGGATTAAATTGTAAAAACTTTTATCTTGTCGAAAGCTCTCACGCAAGCGTACGTCCGACACTGAGATGTCTGTAGATATTCCTACATATAAGTTTGAGAGCCCCACTCCACCTAATTTAGGTGTGCGCTCGGCCATCCCCATTTCAGCCACGTATGGCAATTATTAGGTATGCCCAACCTAAGCGTGCGCTCGGCCACCCCCATTTGGGCCACGTATGGCAACTGTTAGGAATGCCCAACTTAGGTATGCATTATTCCTTCCGCATTAGGCCCACATTCGTCTTTAGGCATGCTTAACTGAAATTCTAGTCGGGAATGTAAACAATTGCTTCATTACACATACATATGTGACACTTTTCCGTAACAATTGGACTTATTTGTTACAAAAAAGGGTCATATACATGTAACATTGCTTATCTAGGTTTAAAAAAAATACAGTAAATTCTCTACAAGAGTCAGTAAGTTTGGATTCTACAAGTGACAGTATAGATGGTCCTACGCCTAGGTCTGCGTCATTGCTGCGCCCATGTTATCTCGCTCGCGGTCAGTCAAGCGTGTAACACTACACCAGTCGGTTTCCTTTACGAGATTACGCGGCTCGACAAATCATAATAGAAAAATATAATTTCTTTAATTTTACTTTTTTTCATCTACAATTTTTTTTAACATGTTGGTGAAATTTTCCTGATAAAAATGATATCGAACACGATATAATTTGAATAACATTTACTTATTAACACGTTCACTGTCCCGCCAGATTTACAGGTTCCTGTCAGGCGGCCACAAGAAAATACATTTTAAGCATAGGATTATGGTATTATGTTTTATAATTTTTTTTTTCAATTGAAAATAATGTCTAGCTAGCGATGACATTCAAAATTTTTAGTTGACAACATTTATTTTATTTTAATTATGCTAAACATTTGAGACACTCCAGTCACTGAGGACCACCATGGCCATATCGAGGAAACAATCTAATGTTAATACTTATTGAATGATTAATTTAATTTCATAATATATCGCTTTGGATGACTTACAAAAACAAATTACTAAGAAATTACATTAAACACCTGTACACATTATCCGTCGAATGTAGAGGGAGAGCCACCGTTTGGTTGCCAATTGTTTACCACATAGAGTCGGCCTACCTCCACGTAAAAAAAAAAAGAAATGTAGGGTCGATTCCACTAGTGACAGTGCAAGTGTTACTGTACTTTGTCCAGTTTGGTGGAGAATATCGTTTAAATGCAATGGAAGTTTACCTGTGTTTTTCTGAATTTC